CCTGCCTACTCTGTTCTAATCCCCATTCATTGGTGGAATTCAGCTATCAAATTTTCAAATTTTCAAACTTTCAAATTGGAGTTCAGCCTAAAAATACTTCTAAATACCAGCCATATTCCTATATGACAGTTCTTTTGTAGCCAAAGTGAGAAGAAGGCAAGAAGGAAAAAATAGAATCTAGTGGTTCAAGACTTGGACCTCAGAACAGACAAAACTCTCCCGCCTCTAAGTGTTGGCAAACAGGCACTTAGATTCAGAGCCTTCACTGATGACCTGATCTGTGTTATAGAAGAGCCAAGGAAACATGCCCAGACATGGTTATCAAAAATAGATGCATACGGGACCTTGGCGGGCTTCAAGATCAACAAGGAGAAGACGAAAATTCTAACAAAGAATATAACCAAGGAAAATCAGGAAAAACTCAGGGAGCTCACGGGCATGCTAATAGTACCAAAACTAAAATATTTGGGCATATATATTTCTGCAAACAACTCACAACTCTTCAAGAACAACTACGAGCCAGTATGGAATAAAATCAAAGAAGATCTGAGGAACTGGACCAATCTGAAAATATCTCTGTTGGGAAGGATTGCTGTCATCAAGATGAATATTCTACCTAGATTTCTTTTCCTTTTTCAAAACCTCCCAATAATACAAAACAAGACACCATTCCACGAATGGAACAAAGTGATAAGAACATTTCTCTGGAGAGGCAAGAAACCCAGGATAAAGCACATCCACATGATCAATGCAACTAAGAGAGGAGGCCTAGGCCTCCCTGACTTGACCTTATACCATGATGCTTGCGGCATAGCTTGGATCAAGGACTGGATTCTCCTAGAAAAAGAAAAAGTGTTAGCCCTCGAGGGGTTCAATTTGAGAGTAGGCTGGCATGCCTACTTATGGCAAAACCAAACCAAGAGAGAAAAAAAATTCAACAATCATCTAATTAGGAAGCCATTATTGAGGATATGGGAAAAATACAAAAAAAAATCCTGTACCCAGAGAAACCCCCTTGTGGTTATCCCCCCTAGAGGGAGATAAAAGAAGACTGCTAGGCTGGAAGAAATGGCCTACATACAGGACTTCAACCATCAAAAAAGAAGGATCACGCCAACTAAGAACGAAAGAAGATCTAGCCAACGACTTCAACTCCTTTTCTTGGCTCCATTATTTCCAGCTAAGAGAGCATTTCAACAGAGACCAAAAAGGGGGCTTCATGGAAAAAGATACGTTCTGGGAAAAGATCTTAAGAAAAGACAAGAAAAATATCACATCCATATACAATTTACTATTAGATTGGGCAACAGAACAAGAAAAAGTCAAGGAATGCATGATCAAGTGGGCAAGGAACATCAGCAGACCGATAAGCTTACATGAGTGGGAACAAGTATGGACGAAAAAGATCAGGTATACCTATGCCATAGCTCTAAAGGAAAACTGGTACAAAATGTTCCATCGCTGGTACATGACGCCCCAGAGATTGGGACAGATGTACAAAAAAGGAAGCAACAAGTGCTGGAAATGTGAAGATCAAGTAGGCACCTTCTTCCACCAATGGTGGTCAAGCCCCATAGCCCAGAAGTATTGGAAAGGAGTAAATGAAACCTGCGAAAAAATCCTGAAAATTAGGATTAAAGAGAGAGTGGAGTGTTACCTGTTAGGTATATTCAAAGAGGAATGGGAATTAGGCGTAAACGAAGATATACTGCTCACTTTTCTAACGACGGCCGCAAGAATAGTCTTTGCCAGGAAGTGGAAATTAAAAGAAATCCCAACRGAACAAGAATGGATGGACAAAWTATTAGAGATAAGAGAAATGGATAGGYTAACTTATGCTCTGAAAGACTCTAACGGCCGTCCCTTAAAGAGGAYGGACTGGAGCCTACTAAAYGKTTTTTTAGGAGAARACAAGAAACATAGCGAGATRARAGAAACCTAAAYAAGAAATAACTTAGAGCYTAAAGGGATAGGCCTCAGATYGCACTAAGTTAAGAAGAAATCAAACMGAGAAYGCGGTGAAAAYGGAATAGGAAGTCACTCTTTTCYTCCCTCCCCCHCAACTTCCATGTCCCCTTAGCCCCTTTCCTCCCCCTCTTATCTTACCTCTTTTCCCATCCCCTCCTTCCCCCCCTCCTCAATCCCCCTCTTCCCCTCCCCCCTTCCCCTCCCCCCTCTGTCTTTTAAACTCTAATGTACAGTGAACCCCCCCCCCTTTCCCTCTTTGTATCTACGCTGTACTTTGTATTTTGTATTATTCTGAAAAAGTATTCTAATAAAAATAATTTTAAAAAAAAGACTTGGACTACAACTCTGGAGACCAGGGTTCGAATCCCCACCTGGCTTATCCAGGCTCACTGGGTGATCCTGGATAAGCCACACATTCTCGGTGGTACAGTGGAATGCGTAGCAGGCAGAGGTGATTCGTATACAGAATGCTTGGCAGTGTGGTGATGGGTAAACAGGTTATGACTAGCAAGGTGGTGATGCTGTAAGGGATGGAAGGGGTTGATCTTCCTCCTGCTTTTAAAGGCAAAGTAATCTGTATGTAAGAACTCACAGGCAGCAGCAATCAGGGAGTAGGCCTGCAGATAGAAGACTGCATAAAAAGAGCCTAGCTAGAGACTGCTCTTTGGGGGAAAAGTATCTGTTATTCTTTGTTGTAGATGCTGGTGGGTTTTCCTTCAAGTTGCATGGATTGTGGTATCCTGACCTGTCTCGTGAACTCTTGGAACCTTGTACTTTGGAGAATCTTGAACCCTAGCGAACATTTTGTTGGTAAACCCTGTTGATGTACCTTGAATCCCTGGACTGACTCTTGACTGAATATTTTGGATCACTCTTGAACTCCGTACTCTCTGGCTGGACCTTAGGAACTACGACTATGTTTTGGTCTCTTGAACCTTGGGCATTAATCAGTGAACCTTCAGCATTTGACTCCTGGTCTGCAACCCTGACTATGGTGTACCTTTGTTCCTGAACCAGCATTTGTAATAGTTCCTTGTTATAAGTCTTTGCTTTGTATATGTGGCTGTGTGCTGTTTTTATGTTTGAACTTGGACCTTGAAACAGCCAAGAGATTTAAGTTTACTGCTTTAGGTAAAATAGTTGACACAAGCTGGGTGTTTCTCTTGGTTCATCTCTGCCTGCATACTGGCCGAGTCCTGGATCCTGACAGCATGGCAGATTCACCTTAGGGTTGCCATGAGTTAGAAATGATTCAAAGGCACACAACGATAGCAATGACAACGACAACAAGAGCAGGGGTGAGACAACTCCAGCCTTCCAAGTTTCTTGCTGTACCATTCCCAGAACTGCTTCACACAATTGCCTATGTTAGATAAGAATTATGAGAGCTGCAGTTCAACATCTGAAATGACACATTCTACCCACTTCTGCTTTGAGAAACCTTAAGCTTTCTAAACATACTAAGTTTTAAGAAAGAAGTCCTTCCATCAGGATGGGAGTACTTCCACTGAATTCTGACAAGAATGAGAAATGAAAAAAGGAGGGGGTACCATATGCTGCACCATTTTGTTGTAAGTCTCACTTGTAAAAGCTTCTCATCTCTGTGCTCTACATCACACTGAGGAGTCTTCCACACAGACAAAAACATGAGCATAATGTGACTCCAAAGCTCCCTCGTTTCTGTATGAGGCAGATTCAGGAAAGGAAGAGCCTGCAGGGATTATAAGGGATCATTTTGTAATTTTAGGGAGAATGGGGATGCAGAGAGGGTAGGAAAACACAGCCAACCCATCTTTTCAAGCTGCCTCAGCCCAGGGAGTGCAGGATGGTGGTGGGGACGCAATCTCAGATTCCACATGGGGATCCAAAATGACAATCTCCATTGCCCCAAAACCAGGAAAGGTCTGAATCCTCCTGAATGATTCTGATCTCTCTGGATGTTTTTTAAACCTGGGATCAAGCTGAATTAATTGTCTTATCATTGTTTCAATTGCATTAGATTGTGTGTGCCATGTGGATGCACCAGGCCAATACAATTGTTTCATTGAATTAAATGGCACGGAAGTTTGGGCCCGAGAGCTCATTCATACAACAGCAAAAGAGGAAGGCAGAAGATTATATTTTGAACATCCTGAATAAAGACAGAATAGAAGTTCTGAAACATTTGCTTCTTCCACCCCTTGAAACACCAAAAGCATCCTAGTAAACTTATTTAGCAAAGCTTAGGAAAGAGTCTGTGCAACAGTTACAAAACAATTTATGCATCCCCCTGCACCTGGGAGATTGTGAACTCCCAGCACAAGTCTAGTAGACCCAGTTACATTGGGGAGAATATGGTACTTTTCTCTCTCTCACACACACACACACACACATTCCACTGTGTTTGTGGGGTACAGAACTGCTTTCTCTACATATGGTTCACTGCCCACGTCAACCTCAGCATCCCATTTCACATATCACCACCGGCAAAATTTGCTATAAAGCATTGCTTTATTTTGTACCACTTTAAAAAAGTGAAGACATTTCCTTTGCTTCATCAAAAGTAATATTTTATTTTTTCACTTCTCGTGCTTCATCAAAATAGACAATCTTACATTAGCTCCAACAATTTATGAAGGCTGAAAAAACTAATACATCATTCTGCTTGTTCAGCCAAGCCATTTACAAACAGTTGCACAACTCTTGTAACATATATCAATGCCCATGCATTTAACTGCCATTCCAGTTGCCTCTGTCTTATCTAATATTACAAGGTAATGTACAAAGAGTGGTCTGAAACAGGAAAAATTATAAAGTTAGAATTTCTCTCCCACCCCAGATTCCATATATTTTCCATACCCTTTCTTCCTAATCCAACCACACACACCCCTCCCCGATCCAACCTATCCTTCCAACCTTTTTCCTACCCTCAACCCTAACATTCCCAACCTCCAATTTTTACCTATATATCTGTAAGAATATACCTCAATAAAAATTATTCAAAAAATTAAAAAAAGTTAGAATTCCTAAACATCAATCCCTAAACATTTATCTAATAATGTAGAGATATTTAAAATTTTATTAGATAAACCCAGTAAATATCCTATATGTAATAGTTTCTAATCTCATTCCAGCACAATGATTGTGTTTTCAAATCAAGCATGTCTAAATCACCAGAAAGAATTATACAGTTTAAACCCATAGTAACTATTTCACTATCTCTCTTAAATGCAAAATTAAATGCTGTCAGTAACGCATCATGTGTTTTTTAAAAAAACATAGCAAAGACATAGTCCCCTTCCAGACAAGCCCTATATCCCAGGATCCAATTCTAGGTTTTCTGCTTTAAATTGGATTATATGAGTCCACGCTGCCAGATAATCTGGGATAAACAGAAAACGTGGGATCTGATCCTGGGATATAGAGCCTGTCTGGAAGGGCCCAGAGTGTCATAAGAATGGTATCACTTTTTTAAAAAAATAGTCTATACAAGGAAAGAGTTCTTGAGCTATAGAACCTCCATACAGTTTGAAGCATAAAAATCTCTTCAGAATGTACATTTTGAGCATCAAATTCTCATCAGCCAATACAGATGAAGGGCCTTTTCACACTATGTAATTATAGCACAATTATTTCATTTTAATTGCCTTGTCTGTATAGGGAATGCACAGTCATTTTGGCTTGCTCAGAGCCACACACACACTAACCCCTCCTTGACTGAGGACCCTAAATAACCCTCAGCAAATCCCAGGATAGGATACCACTGCATAGAACCACAGCCGTTAAAGTGAAATCAAGATGCTATAATTGCATGGTGTGAAAATACTCTTGCACTGAATATATTAACCAGTGCATCGATTAAACACATTTGGATAAACCTCCCAAAATGAATTGCAAATCTCAAAACAAATAGGAGGATAAATAGGAATTCCAGAAGCCTTCAGCAATATTATTCATGTTGCACTATACAGATTTGATCTAGCTATTGTGTTGGGTCTCAGGTTGCAAGTCATATCTTCGTAGACTATATTTTGCAATTCCTGTCCCTTTCCTTTTCTGCAGTATTTCTTGACCTGTTAAAGGAAAGGGGAGTAAAAAAAACAGACCGCAATTAGTATGCATTGCTCAGGAGAGATCTCTACCAGACTACTAGCAATTTTTATATCCTTACACATAAAGGAACCTCTTAACTCTGTCCTCTTGGTCAGAACTACTTTCTGACTTGTCCTTTATTAGTAGGGGTTGGTCATTTGTGTCAAATAAGGATAATTCTGTCCACTAGTCATACCAATATGTTTATTCTTGATCTGAATAACTTGCCTTCTCCCTTTTTTATCTTAAAAGAGTTAGTGTGAGCCCTATACATAAAATGGGGTAGAACAGGGGGTTGGGGACTGTAGTCCTGGGATTCCCTGAAGATATATTTGTGGCTTTTGGACCACTTCATACTCCCTGGACTGCCCTTTACCTGATCCTAAACAGAGGGAAAGGCTCTTGGACTGCTAGTCCATAGGATGGTTAAAGTGGAATCATAGTGTTATAGCTGTGTAGTGTAAAAGGGCCCCAGAAATAACTTCAGGCCAATTCCGTTTTCTTTTCTCATCTTTTGGTAATTTGTATGGCCCCCGAAGCATTTCAGGGGCAAAAACCCTGGACATCAGACTGGCCGCACATGGGCTCACTATTTAGTGCAGAATAGCCATTGAGACTTGGAGACCATTTACATGGAAAAGAATCTGTTTTCCTTAAGAGAGAGCTATTTGGATATAACTTCATTATTATAATTTGGATATTGCTTTAAAATATTTCCAGAGAAAGATACATTTCTCATTCTATGACCTCACTGGAAGAAAACAAATCTGCTATACTGCAAGATGGGTGCCACTTACCAGAGTAGCACTGTCAGCATACTCACATTTATATGAGAGAGAAAAAAGCATCCCAGTATAAAAACTACCAGCAACGACAGGAAGATGAGGGTATACAACATCCAGGGAGATGAGGAATCCTCTGTCTTTTCTGAAGTTTAGATAGAGGAAGAAAGTGAGGAATTAGTATTACTCTGTTATTTTGTTTGTTAACCTATACTGAAATGAATCCATTCCCTATGGTGGAAAAATGTGTTTACTTTTGGTTCTGATCCTCATCAGTGCTAAACTCTTCAATAAATTGCTCACATGCATATTTTATCTAGAGTCTAACATTGAGGTGGATATAATAATAGTCCCTTCCACTGACCCTCTTAACTTAAGTGGAGCACAACAGAGCAACAGACAATTCCTTATCTATTAGGAGCAAATGCTGTCTCCTTGGCCTCATCAATGCTTCCATGTAATGTAATTTCAGAATGTAGTTTAACTGCTTTGAAATTTATTATAGATTCTCAGAAGAAGATGATACTTCAAGGGGGAACTAGGACTCTTCATTTAAGATGTCGTCCTATCAGTGAGTATCTCCTATTCAGCACAGTATTTCCCATTCAACATTGCAGGGCTCTCTTCTGAGTAAACCTGTACAAGATGATGAAACTGAGGCTATCATACAATGGGCATATGCTGAGGATGCTTGAATAAGGTTGGCCTACTACATTTACAGTTTTTACTTTTGCAGATCTGAGTATTTGTGGATTTGTTTTAAAATGTTGTTCTAGAAATCTCTAGGTCCACCAGTGTGACACTAGAGTCATTTTCCTCCAGTCATACTGGGGATCCTAGAGATTTCTAGAGAGAACACCACTCTATAAATATCTAGGTCCTCCAATGTGATTCTGTGTTCAGCTTCCATTGGAAGTAGTCCATGAAGTTGTGCTGGAAGACCTAGAAATTTCTAGAGAGGTAGTCTCTCAGGGGGAAAAGCAATTTCTTTATTCATTTTTTTACTTTCATGGGGGTCCTTTGCCCCTAAGTCCAGTGAATTTGGAGGGCTACCATACCCTCCCAACATTTCACAGATGAAAAGTAGGATGCCCATGGGCAAGCAACATCAGATTTGAGCAAATGTTGTAAGTGAGAAAGAAATTTGCCTGAGCTACTGGCAAATTTCTTCCTTTTGTTTTCCACTCTTCTCCTGTTAAGTCAACTGAATGCAAACTACTTTGGTACTTTGAATTCAGTGTGCAGCAATTGAAGTAATCTGAGAACAGAGGAGGAAGTGGGAAGAAGGAAAAAACTAAGTAGCTTAAAATATCTGAAAAAATGGAATGACAGAGGATTGAGATTGCCATCAATTGGAAGGGATGATGTATTATGCTGTTCAGTTTTCCCATAGAAGTAATTGCCATTGTCATAGTAACATCTTCTTACCTTTCACTGCTAAAATGATACTGCTGCTATTCACTATATGAGGCTGCTTGTTTCTTAGCAGGGCTCCTTCACACACATATGCATCACTATCACTCTTCTTCACCTGTTGTAGTGTAATCATCACTGTGTTGTTCAGCTGAAAGTATTGTGTACGATTTTTATATTCAGGAGCTTCGTTCTTGTCTTTTCCATATGCTGTAGCATATATCACATTCATGGGCTTCCCTAGGGTTCGCTTCAAATATACATCTATCAGTTCTAGATGGTTAAAGTCACATGTCATATTGACAGAATCGCCTTCCACAGCAATGATAACCATTAGCTCATGTTTAACTATGCTTTCTGAAAAGAAATAATAAGAAAAATTGTGAGAGAGGTGGATCTCCTGAGAGAAGATACTGAAGATGACACAAAGGAATGATGGGCTTATTTATGTACTTGGCCTGTGAACTTCAACAAGTCATAAAAGTCACAGATGGCATGAATCAATTCAAATATACTATCTCTAGTCAAGGCCTGTATTTCTATAATAATAATAATAATAATAATAATAATAATAATAATAATAATAATGGCACACTCTTCCTAACCAAGGATCACACGCTTTCGAGTATAATTGTGCTTACATATATGAATAGGTTTTCCTTTATCCGATCTTCAATTCTATTCCCCATTTCTGTTGCTAAAACATCCACATTCCCAAGCATTCAATCAACAAACTGTTGTGTATAGAAAAATGCAGCTTTGTACTCCAACTGTTCCAATTTGGCATAGAAAATCCTGAATAACACCACTTTTCCAGCTTGTTTTGAAATATCCTGGTTTTGTATGCTTCCTTGCACTTCTCACTTTTCTCTTTGCCTTCCTTCTGTTGCTGAAAGCTGAACTTCAAGTCAATCAACTCATCTGAAGAAAGAGTGAGAACTTGCCCCTCCCAGTAGATTCAGATAAAGCCCCTCTCAATCTTGTGTACGCTTCCTCATTTATACATTTTACTATGTTGACCATACTCTGATATTATGGTACTTGCTCATTATTCAATCCAAGCCAAAGGAGATTTTTTTTTTTGTTTGGCTATATAGATCCAGCCCTGTTGTTGCCATTGGTGTGTTCTATTTTCTTGTCGGTGTGATGGTGGTGGATTTGTGACCTTCCAGGCATTGGACTGCAAATCCTACTTGCCCCATCGATAGTGAGGAAAGTTGCAGTTGACAATATTTGCTAGGCATCAAGTTACCAAATCTTGCTGAACAATTTAATTTTTTAGATGACCTTTACTCTTACTGTTCAATTGGTTTTATTCTTTTATGTATTCTACTCTATGCAGCAAGTATAAAAGTTAAAGTATAATTTTAAAGATTAAATAAAATACAATTTACATTCTTTTCTGACTTGTACCTGATTTGAAGGAGGATCCATTTTTTTATAATGGTTGGAAATCTGTTGAACAACAGCAAATATATAACCTATGTTACCTATTTGCAACTACTACATATTCACAATCTCCAGGCAGCCTTACATTTATGAAATTGTGAATATCTTCTAAATCCCAATAATGGTAAGCAAACTTTCCAATTAACAGGAATCAGTTCCCCTGGAAATTAGAAAGCAGCTGCCTGACCTTCCTTTTCTCACTCATGCAATTTGTTCTCCAGTGTGAGAATGATTTGTGAAAGGGTCCTTTTTGGCACCAGAGATCACTCAAGAGTTAGAGTGGGTATGTCAGGCAGCTGTTTCTTGATCAACATGGAATGCCTTCCTATAGATTCCAGCAGCTACTTTCTGACAAGTGAGGTTTGTGGGGTTTACACCAAAATTTAACATTTTTACAGTATTGCATAATATGCAATAGTTGTGTAGGATTACGGAATACACACACACACACACACACACATACATACAGAGAGTGGGGGAATACATCTGTTTTCCCTTGATCTGCTGTCATCAGAGTCAGAGCAAAATGGTAAATGTTATTAATGAGAAATAGCATAATAATAATAATACTTTATTTATACCCCACCACCATCTCCCCAAGAGGAATCAGGGAGGTTTACATGAGGCCAAGCCCCAACAATAATACATTAGTAAAACACAACACAGGCAAAGCAAAATAAAATACATGCAAAATATTATGAATAACATATAAACGATAACACAAGAAATTTAAAACATAGGAATCCAACACACTGGGCAGGGCCAAATGTAATAGATTAAAAAATTAAAGATTTAAAAACACTGGGTGTGAACAGAGATGGAATATGTCTAAGCAGGGGTTGTTGTTTTTTTAGGGTAATATAGGATAATTACTCCAACGGGTAAATAAAGTGCTTCAGAGGACATATTGCAGAATGTTGGTCAGATCAGGGTGTTGTTTCCTTTATTCAGGGAAGGCATATTGGAACAACCAAGTTTTCAAGCTCCTCCTAAAGACTGCCAATGTGGGGGCTTGCCTAATGTCCTTGGGGAGTGAGTTCCAGAGTCAAGGGGCCACCATAGAGAAGGCCCTCTCCCTCGTCCCCACCAATTGTGCCTGTGAAGGGGGCGGGAGTGAGAGCAAGGCCTCTCCGGATGATTAAAGAGATTGCACGAGTTCGTAAACAGAAATGCGGTCATGCAGGTAGAAGCAGCAGCTGCACTTTGCTTTTGCTGGAGCTGATTGGGAAGCAAAATTCCACCCCTTCCTTGTTTCTCTCCACTACGAAGCCAACAGAGTGCAAATTAAGTTTGGGGTGATTTCAATAAAAATGGGACAAAAAAGTATATGGAAGGAGGAGTGGGAAATTTAGACTTTTAAAGTACCATAGCTATAAAAAGTAGGATGGAATGTTAATCGGGATTGTCTCTGTCAAAATGGAACAGCTGAAAGGTATGTGCAACATGCAAAAGATCTTACCATATAGGGTCAGAGCAAGTGACAGTTGTATCTGGGCAGAATGAACACATGTAGGTTTCTTTGAACTGAGGAATGCATGTAAAACGTATCTTCCTGCAATATGCATGGAATACAACCCTGCTGCCATAGGATAATCTGAGACAGATATTTCACATGCATGGGGGAATTTTGAGAGTTAATGCAAAATTTAAGAAAGGAAAGAAACTGAGAGAAGCACAGGGATGAAAAACACCAAATGGATTGGGACCCACAATTAGATTCTACCTGATACCCAGAGCTGCTGTGTCTTTTCAAGAGGACTGTTACCATCATCAAACATAAATAGCTGCAAGGACAGGGAATTTACGATTGAAACATTCTCTGAGTTTTGTCGTTATTCACAATAAAAGGCACCAGTCTAAGTGCCCATTTGAAAATATGTGTAGAAAGAAAGGGGAAGACAGAACTGCATCTGATAGCCTCAAGACAACCTTCATCCAGCAGCAGTAGGGGTGGTAAAATGAAGCCATTGCCGAATAGCAGCCTGAGACCCTTGGTGGTATCCGATTTATAGGATTCAGACTTGTCTTGAGTTTTTGTTCTGTTCTGTTCAGAGACTCAGTTTGTATAGTTGCTTGAGCTGTTCTTATTTCTTTCTTCCTCTCCTTCCCCAATCTTAATAATTGCCAGCAACTATTTTGTCTTTAATTTACAGTATAATTCCACTTTTACAACTTCATAACAGTGTTTCCAGCAGATGGAAATGATTTCTTAAAAATCTTTCTAGAAAATTAAATGACATAATATAAATCTCGTAAACTTTCTGCAGAGTTTAATTATAAAAAGCCCCATGTAACATGCTAGGAGTTATCTCTGTGTAGAGTTGCAAAAAAAAACAAACATTTTGAACTTCCATAATTCCAAAGAAAAGAAGTCTTTTGTTTTTCTGGGAAAATCTTTTAGGAATCTGATACAGAAATTGCATCTAAACCCACTTTCCACTGTCTGATGCGCACATAGTCAGAGTGTATTGAAACAGTGTTTCTTGGGCTATCTTATCCATCACCCACCCACCCCCACCCCCAATTTACCAGGGATAGCACCATAGCCATGCACATAAATAACAATTTATGCTTTCTTAGAAACTCTCTAGGAGCTGGCAACCCATAGACCACCAATTTGAGCACCATTGGACTAGATAGCAATAAATGACTTTTTACATAAATAAAAAGGTGCTCTGTTTTTGGAGATTTGCCCATTAAAGAATGAAGCATTCATTGAGATAAACTCCTGTGATAAAATGCCATAAAGTTGGAGAAGAATTTCACTATGCATACCTTCTGCAGCTGAAGTTCCTGAGAAACAGATGAGAAAATATACAGCAAGGATCCAGGTCATTTTTCAGAAACCTCTATCTCAAAGAGAGTAGAAATTCTGCGGCTGACAATTCTAGCCTGTCACCTGTATTAATCAGACAATTCTGAACCAAAGAGTTGATAGGTCTGCTGGATGATGGAAAACCACATGACTGTATTATGATGTTGTGGTGGTGATGGTAAGAAGAATTAGTCATAAAGAAAACCAATTGCTGAGAACAGTTTTTTTAAAAAAAATTACAGATCAAGTAGCAGCAGACAGAATCTGTGGTTGCAGAACAGGGAGGTAAAATATTCGCAGTATTCATGTTTTCACTAAAATGTGTGTTGTGCCACATCACATTGAGGCCCCCTCTTGAGAAAATGATCAACCATTTTTAGATCTTTCAATTGTGGGGATATCTCCCAGGTATTTGGTCCAGGATCTCTCCCAGGTATTTGGGTGTGTTGCAATGTTCCAGTGGGATTCCTTCCCAGGTAATCCTCAGAGCTCTAGATGCCTGTCTGTTCTAAAGATGGAAAGCACACATCTGCTTTTTAGATGTATTAGGAATCATTTTTAAGGCATTTTTACTATAATAGTCTCTGAGTTGTCTGAGCTGGAACGATGAGATATTCTTGTATGTTAGTGTTGTAGTTCACCAGCTGATGATAATGATGATGAGGGTTTTGGGGGTATAGAGCCTGATGCTTCTGGAGGTGCTCAGACAGAGGGGATGTTGGGACAGGATGGTGATTCCCCGGTTGGGAGAACAGAGGGGATTGGAATTAGATGCCAGAAGGGACAGAGAGTTTCATCTATACTGATGATCATGCCATTACCGCTCAAGCAGGGAGCTTTGAGATGGTAGAACAGAAGCTCTCCGAAGCTCTAGGTGCTTTTACTGCCTATTACAGGGAAAACCAGCTGATCCCCCAACCCATCTAAAACACAGACATGTGCCTTTCACCTTAAGAACAGACAAGCATCCCGAGCTCTGAGGATTACCTGGGAAGGAATCCTACTGGAGCATTGCAGTGCACCCAAATAAATGGGAGTCACTCTGGACCATGCTCTGACCTACAAGAAGCACTGCCTGAACATCAAGCAAAAAGTGGGTGCTAGAAACAATATCATACGAAAGCTGACTGGCACAACCTGGGGATCACAGCCAGACACAGGGAAGACATCTGCCCTTGCGCTGTGCTACTCTGCTGCTGAGTATGCATGCCCAGTGTGGAACACATCTCACCACACTAAAACAGTGGATGTGGCTCTAAATGAGACATGCCGCATTATCACGGGGTGTCTGCGCCCTACATCACTGCTTAGCCGGTATTGCACCACCTGACATCCGCTGGGAAGTAGCAGCCAATAGTGAAAGGACCAAGGCAGAGACATCTCCAGCTCCTCCCCTGTTTGGGTATCAGCCAGCACATCAACGATTTAAATCTAGAAATAGTTTTCTAAGATCTACAGAGACACTCGCTGGAACACCTCAGCAAGAGTCCAAAAGTGGCAGGCTCAAACCCAGAACCTCAATCAATGGCTGATACCAAATGAGAGACTCCCCCCTGGACACACAGAAAACTGGGCAACTTGGAAGGTGCTGAACAGACTGTGCTCTGGCACCACGACATGCAGAGCCAACCTCAAGAAATGGGGCTACAAAGTGGAATCCTCAACATGCGAGTGTGGAGAGGAGCAAACCATTAACCACCTGCTGCAATGCAATCTGAGCCCTGCCACTTGCACAATGGAGGACCTTCTTGCAGCAACACCAGAAGCACTCCAAGTGGCCAGCTACTGGTTAAAGGACATTTAATCAACTACCAAACTCACAAATTTTGTATTTTGTCTGTTTGTTTGCTTTGCTCTGTTAGAAATGTAATATAATTGACTGGTTGCCCTGACACGACAAATAAAAAAAATTAGATGTTGCTCCTCTGTGTGAAAATGACACTGTTTTAGAAGCTGACAGGCAGAGAAGAGAGGAAGACATGAGTTTACCCGATGAAGGGGGTTTAGACAGAGAATCAAGGTTGCTCCTGCAGGGGAAGAAATCCAAGTGCAAGCAGAGCCATGGGAGAGAGAGGAAGAGACAGGCTTCTTAAGGTCAATGACATGCCTTCCTGCATTGCAGGCCTGTAGCCAGGATTTTGATTCGGGGGAGCCGAGTTTGATTCGGGGGGGGGGGGGGGGGGGGGGAGGCTGAGGCTGAGTAAAAGAGGGTCCAGCCTAGCAAACCTTTTGTATCGTTACCCCAATACCCCCATGCATATGGGATATATTGAGCATGGTGATCAGATCATGATATGAATAAACATAACACTTTAAATAATGTACCAGTAACGTTTTCTCGCGGACCACCATGAGAATTTGGGGGGCTGAAGCCCCTCAAGCCCCCCCCCCCGGCTACATGCCTGCTGCATTACTGTCCTTAATTAGGGAAAAGAAGCTGTTAGATTTCAGATCAACCACGTCGCAAATGGAGTGAGAAGCTCCTGCTTTGTTCCTGGTTATGTTTTAGCTTCAGGCCAAGTTTCCTTGTCAAGTTTTGCTACCAGTGTTGGGGATTTTACTTATGGATTCAAGCTCTTGTTTTATTCCCTGTTTTTTGGATTAATGTTCAAGCTTTAACTTTTGTATTGGAGATTTATCTTTTGCTTTTTGGGACTTATTCCTTCTACATATATTTGGATGTTTACTCTTACTGTGTGTTTTATCAATAAACTGTTTATTACTACGTTTGGCTTCTTGGTGAGTGCTTAGAGCAAAGTGAACTCCTCCTGAGGTGCAATAGTTTGGTTGAGTTCTTCTTGGGTTTTTAAGAGTATAATTTCCATTTTGTTTCTTTAACATTTCTTTGTAGGTAGGCCATTTTTCCATCCTAACTCCCTTCTCTGGCCAGCTTCCAACATAGAGATCCAGAGTGGAGTTTTGGAGTAAAGTCTTTTATAATTTTCCCATTTTTTTATTGGTGAGGATCTTACAAAATAATTTTCAATTTTTTACAGTTTTTCTTTTTTCATATTAAAGATGAATGCCAACCCATCCACAAAACAAAACCTTCTAGTGCTAAATTTTTTACTTTGCTGAGTGTTGCCCAGTTTTTTTCCACCCCAAAGCACATGCCTCATAGTATAGTTTTAAATTTGGCAATCCAAGGATGCCTCTTTTCTTTTCATCTGTCAAGTTACTAAATTTGATCCTGGGTTTTTTTTTCCCCTTGCCATATACACTTTCATAAATCTTTATTCCAAGTTTTGAAAATTTGGGCATTTCCTAATATTAGAAGGATTTGGAATAGGTATAACATTTTGGTAGAATGTTCATTTTTATTGTTGCAATTCTTCCCATTAAGGATAGGTTTAGATACTTCCAATTCTCTAGATATTTTTTATCTCATTCCATTTTAGTTCCTATTTTTTCAAAAGATGTGAATTCTTTGCTGTCACATTTAAACCTAGATACTTAATTTTACTTGATATTTGTAGCCCTGTGATTTTTTTCAAGTTTTCCTGTGTTTTCTTTGTCATGCTTTTCTTCAGTATCATTTTTTTCTTCTTCAAAGTGGAGTCCACAACATGCGAGTGAGGAGAAGAGCAAACTACAGACCACTTACTACAGTGAAGTCTGAGCCCTGCCACATTCACAATGGAGGGCCTTCTTACAGCGACACCAGAGGCACTCAAAGTGGCCAGCTTCTGGTCAAAGGAAATTCGAAGTTTTTAAATGTTTGTGCTATTTTGAAAAATACATTATAACTGTATTCTCAATGTGCTTCTGACACAATAAATAAATAAATAAATAAAATACTAAAAATACAAGGCAATGCAAAGTTGAATACTCAGCTTTTCACGATGCTAAATATTTCTAATTTTCATTATTGAGGTTTGTAATGATTATTGAGGTTTGTAATGATATGTAATGAAGCAGTGCTTGGATACAACCCAAAAAATGACAGAATGATCTCAATTCGAGTGCAAGGAAAGCCTTTCAACATCACAGTGATCCAAATATACGCCCCAACCACAGCTGCTGAAGAAGCAGAAGTAGATCAGTTCTATGAGGATCTGCAGGACCAACTGGATAATACACCAAAAAGAGACATTATTTTCATTACAGGAGACTGGAATGCCAAGGTGGGAAGTCAAATGACAACTGGGATCACAGGCAAGCATGGTCTGGGAGAACAAAATGAAGCGGGACGCAGGCTGATAGAATTTTGCCAGGAAAACTCGCTGTGTATAACGAACACTCTCTTCCAACAACCTAAAAGACGGCTTTATACATGGACCTCACCAGATGGTCAACACCGAAATCAGATTGACTACATCCTTTGCAGGCAAAGGTGGCGGACATCCATCCAGTCGGTAAAACAAGACCTGGGGCTGACTGTAGCTCAGATCACGAACTTCTTATTGCCAATTTAGAATAAAACTAAAGAGATCAGGGAAAATACACAGACCAGTTAGATATGATCTCACTAACATTCCTAGCGAATATACAGTGGAAGTGAAGAACAGATTTGAAGGACTAGATTTAGTAAACAGAGTCTTAGAAGAACTATGGACAGAAGTCTGAGACAATGTTCAGGAGGCGGCAACAAAGTATGTCCCAAAGAAAAAGAAAACCAAGAAGGCAAAATGGTTGTCTGCTGAGACACTGGAAGTAGCCCAAGAAAGGAGGAAAGCAAAAGGAAACAGGGATAAGGGGAGATATGCCCAGTTAACTGCGCAATTCCAGAGGTTAGCCAGAAGAGATAAGGAACTATTTTTAAATAAGCAATGCATGGAAGTGGAAGAAGACAACAGAATAGGAAGGACAAGAGACCTCTTCCAGAAAATTAGAAACATTGGAGGTAAATGTCAGGCAAAAATTGGTATGATAAGAAACAAAGATGGCAGGGACCTAACAGAAGCTGAAGAGATCAAGAGAAGGTGGCGAGACTATACAGAAGATCTGTATAGGAAGGATAATAATATTGAGGATAGTTTTGACGGTGTGGTGAATGAATTAGAACCAGACATCCTGAGGAGGGAGGTTGAATGGGCCTTAAGAAGCATTGCTAACAACAAGGCAGCAGGAGATGACGGGATCCCAGCTGAACTGTTTAAAATCTTAAAAGATGATGCTGTCAAGGTGATGCATGCCATTTGCCAGCAAATATGGAAAACACAAGATTGGCCATCAGACTGGAAAAAATCAACTTATATCCCCATACCAAAAAAGGGAAATGCGAAAGACTGCTCAAACTTCCGTACAGTGGCCCTTATTTCTCATGCCAGTAAGGTAATGCTCAAGATCCTACAAGGAAGACTCCAGCAATACATGGAGCGAGAGCTGCCAGATGTTCAAGCTGGGTTTAGAAAAGGCAGAGGAACGAGAGACCAGATTGCCAATATCTGCTGGATAATGGAGAAAGGCAGGGAGTTTCAGAAAAACATCTATTTCTGCTTCATTGACTATTCTAAAGCCTTTGACTGTGAGGATCATAATAAATTGTGGCAAGTTCTTGGTGGGATGGGCATACCAAGCCACCTTGTCTCTCTCCTGAGGAATCTGTACAAGGACCAAGTAGCAACAGTCAGAACTGACCATGGAACAACAGACTGGTTCAAGATTGGGAAAGGCGTACGGCAAGGCTGCATCCTCTCACCCAACCTTTTTAACTTGTATGCAGAATACATCATGCGATGTGCAGGGCTTGATGAATGCAAAGCTGGGGTGAAAATTGCTGGAAGAAACATTAACAACCTCAGATATGCAGATGACACCACTCTGATGGCCGAAAGCGAGGAGGAGCTGAGGAGCCTTCTAATCAAGGTGAAAGAAGAAAGCGCAAAAGCTGGGTTGCAGCTAAACATAAAAAAAACCAAGATTATGGCAACAAGAATGATTGACAACTGGGAAATAGAGGGAGAAAATGTGGAGGCCGTGACAGACTTTGTATTTCTAGTGCAAAGATTACTGCAAATGCAGACTGTGGCCAGGAAATCAGAAGACGCTTCCTTCTTGGGAGGAGAGCAATGTCCAATCTCGATAAAATAGTCAAGAGTAGAGACATCAGACTGGCAACAAAGATCCATTGCCTAGTCCAAAGCCATGGTATTCCCTGTAGTCACCTACGGATGTGAGAGCTGGACCTTAGGGAAGGCTGAGCGAAGGAAGATCGATGCTTTTGAGCTGTGGTGTTGGAGGAAAGTTCTGAGAGTGCCTTGGACTGCGAGAAGATCCAACCAGTCCATCCTCCAGGAAATAAAGCCCGACTGCTCACTGGAGGAAAGGATACTAGAGACAAAGTTGAAGTACTTTGGCCACATCATGAGGAGACAGGAAAGCCTAGAGAAGACAATTATGCTGGGGAAAGTGGAAGGCAAAAGGAAGAGGGGCCGACCAAGGGCAAGATGGATGGATGGCATCCTTGAAGTGACTGGACTGACCTTGAAGGAGCTGGGGGTGGTGATGGCTGACAGGGAGCTCTGGCATGGGCTGGTCCATGAGGTCACGAAGAGTCGGAGACGACTGAACGAATGAACAACAACAACAATGATATTCTCATCTGTTTTATTCTGATTCAACAATTTTGCTGATGGTGTAATAATAGTTCAACATCTACTGAACATGCTTAACCAACATTCACAAGGATTGAATTACAGCTATGGGTTTTCATAATTTTACAAGACAAATAGTTAGAGTGAGCACCATTCCGTAAATTCTAAATTCCATAGTTATGGAGTCATGGAAGTTAAAGAAGGTTAAGAAGATACACTATAATTATGCAGTGTGGAAAAGTCCTTACCAGAACAAGCAGATTCCTCAAAATGTGGAAGTAAATGATCTTTAAAATTGTGTACAAGATTATTTTTTGTTAATGTTAGTTGTAAACCTGCCTTTGTACTTTCGTCTTTGACTATTTTCAGTAATCCTTCTAATTCCCAAGTTCATGTCACTGTCATTCCCATTTCTATTATGGTTGTGAAAGAGGGAAAAGAGCAGCATGTTCCTTCTTAGACCTTGATTCCACATATAATGGTGGGCTTTATGTTCCACCAACACATAAGACCATAATAGACAATATGTGACTGAGACCACAGCGGTAAAATAGCTGCAGTTAGTAGGCTAGAGTTCTCAAAACCAAATTCAGAAAAGGCCACTAGCTCTGAAAAGGGAAGTCCACAGTGGATCACAACAATGACATCTCAAGTTGTTTTACGTTAAGCTTATTCTCCTTCCTCCCTTATGTTTCACTTTTAGAAGGTGAGTCATCGGACCTTTTCAAATGAAAAATTTACATCTCCCTCCAAATAACTGCTTCTTAAACAGTGAGTCTCAACCTCAAATGGGGTCCCCTTAATTCAGTGTTGGGGGTCATGAAAAATTTGGCAACAGTAAAAGGTTCTTGAACTCAACACATGTATTTAAAAAATCTGTTAGCAATGGCATGCAGTGTTCACAGTGACCTCTGCAGAAAATGTTTCAGCTGTACTCCACAAAAAGCAAAAATGGCCTCTTTAGTAAGCCTTACAAATGCTAATGCATTATCAGTAAATGTTTGGTTTTCAGTACCTATTTGTATAGACTTGTACTGTATATTCAGGCCACATAAATATTTCTCAGGTAGAAAGGATCACTAGTGAAAAAGTTTAAGAAGCCCTGCTCTATATCACAGTGGTACCATGTCTCAAATGGAGACATGGCTTCACATGCAGCTACTAGATATGTGCAAAAATTTCTAGTCTTGGAATTCAGAAGAAATTTGGAAGTTTTGGAAGTTGGAAGGCATACCCAATGCATTTGCATGCCCACACCAAAAATTCAGTATCAAAACTTACCCCATACTTTTCATTTTAGTTTTGTAAATATCAGAATGATCAAAGTCAACTTGATTTTCATTTTCATTTTCATGGCAAGCAAGCAAGCATGCAAAGTGAAAAAAAGTGCTTCCATGCCTCTGTAAATCACCATTAGAAGCGGGAAAGGAGGGAAACAGCACAGAACTCTGGGAAGGGAGGAAGTCTATGTCAGAGAATTCAAAAGACTCTGTCCTAAACTATATTTCCCAGAATGCATCAGCATCAGAAAGTACCAATCAGGATAGCGGGCTGGGAAGAGAGATTTGTCCCTCCCTAACAGAAGCCAGCTGCAAAGAGGAGGGAGGAGTGACTCATATTTCTCTAGTAAGCAAACAATCCTCTATTCTGGGAAGAAACGCCTAAATGAATGGTCCTTGGGGTCCCCTCTAATTCAATAGCAGAAGAAGAGGGTTGGTCTAGATGCCCCTTGATGGTGTATTTACCATGTTTTTTGTTCCTGGGTTATAAATGTCAGTTGCTAACTGGTTCTATCATAGAAACTTGGGGAAAGCTTATTAAACTGCAAAAACTTTGTCTTTGTGGGAGTGACATCATGCTATAGCAATGTAATGACTTTTGAAACTTTTTTTATCGATTGCATATCCCTAGAAACTACCATCCTAGAAAATCCAGAGGTGACCATGCTGCAAACAGTATCAACAGGAGTGTATGAAACAACCATTCAAGGAAATTTAAAGTTGAATCCAAAACTTGTCCAAGACACAAAGAAATTTGTCCTTTCTTCTAGCAATGTGAAAGTCCTTCTTGTATTAAAAATGAAAAAGTGAAAAAGTAAGGCCAGATTTTTTTTTCATTAGGATCTTTGTGTTCTTTGTTCATAATTGATCTGACTTCTTTCCCCTTTTTCGTTTGTTTTGTTTTGGGGTTTTTGACTCAGAAACCTTCTTCTGGCATTGGTTCTCTGAAAGAGAGGGAAAAGGAGAACAATGCTTGAAAAAATGCTAGCCAGAAATTCACTGCATTTGTTCACTTGTGTGACCAATCTATGAAAACATTTTTTCTATAGTACACCAAAATGAAAAGATAAGACCAACATAGCACTCTATTCCTCTATTATGAGATAGTTGCATTAGAAAGAATCAACATATACTTACCTTCTGAGAGAAACAATCCCTTGCAGAATATCTAGAAAAGGAATGACAAAATATATTGAAATTATAGAAAAACAGATAAATTAGTTATAATTATAAATTTATAGTTATAAATTAGTTATAAGGTAGCCCAGAGAGCCAAAGCCTTTGAAATGAAAATCCTGTATCATAACAGGAACCGGAGAAAAGAAGCAGACGAACAGGTGGTTGGGGCTCATTATTGTCACAAGATGGAAGAGTTACTCCGACAATCTGATTTTGTGATGTTGGTTGTCAACTTAACGCCTCAAACACAGAAGCTGATTGGGGAAAAGGAGCTCAAGCTCATGAAACCCACTGCTACTCTGATCAACATCTGTCGAGGCCAAGTGGTTGATCAAGATGCCCTGGTGAATGCGCTCCAGAATGGAGTTATTAAGTCTGCAGCTTTGGATGTGACCTATCCTGAGCCATTGCCAAGCTCCAGCAGACCTCTGAGGAAGCTTGCCATAGATGCAGGCGAAACGTCAGGAGAAATGCCTCTAGAACATGGCCATATAGCCCGAAAAAACCCACAAGAACTGAGTGATTCCGGCCATGAAAGCCTTCGAAAATACAGATAAATTAGTGGCTAACAGTATTGTTAGCATGCAGAAAAGCCTTGCTTTTTTTTAAAAAAAAACAAAACCTTGCACAAGTATATAGGCCCTAACCTGGACTGTAATGATAGCACAAAGTCAGGGCATATTGGTTTGTCATAAGGGTGGGAATACTTAAACAAAAGGCCAAACTGAAGCAATTAAAAAAACAAGTACAGCTTTCTTGCATGCTGCACATTTGGACAATATTCTGTTGGTGGCTGAAAATAGTGTAAGCATTACATATGCACAAATATGCCTTTGTAAAAATAAAAACACGAAGCACAAAGTGTTATTTTGTTCATCCTACTCCTCTCCTTCTAGCTTTGGAGAGGACTGCTATTTCTACCCCTTTTTGGGGAGGAGTGGGGAGAAGCAATTCAGAGGAAGAATATGATAGCATTATCTTTTCTGATTAGAAGAAGTGGCTGAGACCAGCTGCATATTCCTCATTTTTGGGTTAATCTACACTGTAGAATTATTACAGTTTGACACCATTTTAATTGCCATGGCTCAACACTATGGAATCATGACAGCTGGAGTTAAGCAAGGTCTTTACATTTCTCTGCCAAATAGTGCCAGTACCTCACTAAACTACAACTCCCAGGATTCTACAACTTTGAGCCATGGCAGTTAAAGTGGTGTTAAACTCCGTTAAATCTACAATATAGATACACCCTGAACTGTGTTTCCTTTCCTCCCCATAAAAAGGAGCGGGTCTTGATAACGATTGGACTAGGGAGAAGACATGGAAATTTTTGGGTGGGGTGTTATGCCATGCCTTCTTCGTGTAGAATTAGGCCCCCAGTGGTGCAATAGGTTAAACCCTTGTGCTGGCAGGACTACTGACTCGATAGGTCAGTGGTTCGAATCCAGGGGGAGCAGGTTGAGCTGTCAGCTCCAGCTCCTCGTGCGGGGACATGAGAGAAGCTTCCCACAAGGATGGTAAAACATCAAACATCTGAGTATCCCCTGGGCAATGTCCTTGCAGATGGCCAATTCTCTCACACCAGAAGTGACTTGCAGTTTCTCAAGTCACTCCTGACATGAAAAAAAATCATGTAGAATCTCAGTCTCAGTATTTCACCAAGGCATGGTATTCAAGCTTTTTCCCAGAATACTAATTTGGGAATAATATTCATTGATTTTTTAAATTCTATTTTAGAAGGTGACACACTAAATTTTAGGCACTTGCACTTTGGAAAATGATATCTCCTTGATATTTGACCTCTTTTTATACACTATCAAATTTGTAAATAAAGCTCTGTTTTTTTTAAAAAAAAGCTAGGATTTTCAATCAAAGTGTATGCTGGGATGGATCTAGATTTGGGCAAGAGCAACTGAACATACAGAATAAGGTACAATGCTTCCTCAGTTCCCTGAAAATGCTTCACAGACAGTCAGGCAACCCTGTTGTGGTTGTGTTGTTCAAGGCAGAAGAGATAAATCTAAACATCTTTCATGAACTGAAAATCTTTCTGCTCACAGAAAGCAAATACTGGCTCAAACCCCAGGATTTCAAGTTCCGACCTGAAGTTCTAGACGTGGATTCCTATAGAGAAGTGTTTCCAAATATTCATTTGCAGAGGTAAATATCAACATGCATGCAAATTATTATAGAGACACACCTCTCTTTTGTTTTGAAGAAATAAATTGCAGCAGCAACAGCAACAGCTAGTACCGCAATCACCACAATTGCCACAATTGGAGTAGAATCACTTGTAATGTTTTCTGATACAGTCTTGGAAGATCTAACCTTTTCCAGGGTCATGCAAGCACAATCTGTTTGGGGGGTGGGAGAGATGAAAGTACCTGGAGTGAATACATGAGCAATACCTATTGCAATTTTTGTGATTACTGTATGTCTAAATTCTTCCACGGTTGTTACAAATCAAAAGAAAGAATCACTAAAAGAACAACCTGTTTCAAGTTGCCAGGGTTTCCATGCTATACAATTACAGCATTATAATTCCAGCAAGGACCATTTCCAATGGAATCCTGGAGTTTGGAGTATATTCCAAAGATCTTTAATAGAATCATAGAGTTGGAAGAGGCCACCAGGGTCATGCAGTCCAATATCCTGCCACGCAGGAAAAGCACAATCAAAGCACCCCCAACAGATAGCCATTCAGTCTATGCTAAAAACCCTCAAAGAAGGAGATTTCACCACACTCTGAAACAGCATATTCTACTGCTGAGCAGCTCTTAATATCAGGTAGTTCTTCCTAATGTTTAGGTGGAATCTTTTTTTTTTCCCCTGCCATTTAAATCTATTGTTCCATGTCCTAGTCTCCAGAGCGGCAGAAAACAAGCTTAACCCCTCCTCAATGTGATATTTAAATATGGCTATCATGTTCCCTCTTAGCCTTCTTTTCTTCAAGCTAAACAGAACCAGCTCCCTCAGCCATTCCTCATAGGGCTTTGTTTCCAAACCTTTGATAATTTTGGCTGCCCTTCTCCAGACACATTCCAGCTTGTTGATATCTTTCTTAAACTGTGGTGCCATGAACTGGACCTGGTATTCCAGGTCAAGTCTGACCAAAGCAGTATAGAGTGGGATTATGACAACCTCGAGTCTATGCTTCTATTGGTGTAGCTAGAATACCATTGGCTTGTTTTAGCTAGCACTTCACACTATTGACACATGTTCAGTTTGTGGTCTATTACAACTCCAAGATCCCTTTGACATATATTGTTTCCAAGTATCACCCCTCCTATATCTGAGCATTTCATTTTTACTGCCTAAATGTAGTGTTGTTGTTCATTCGTTCAGTCATCTCCGACTCTTCGTGACCTCATGGACCAGCCCACACCAGAGCTCCCTGTTGGCCGTCACCACCCCCAGCTCCTTCAAGGTCAGTCCAGTCACTTCAAGGATGCCATCCATCCATCTTGCCCTTGGTCAGCCCCTCTTCCTTTTGCCTTCCACTTCATTTTATTAGTTTTGGCCCAGTCCTCTAATCTGTTTCTGCTTGACAATTCTGTAAATTCCTCCACGAACTGCTAATTCCAGGAATCCACAAGGTGTTGCCATGATATAGTGGAAAGACAATACTACAATTATATAGTGTGAGACCACAGAGACACTTAGATGTACACTGTTAAAAACGGTGTTGGACTAAACTGAAACATTTAACTTTCTAGGCTATTAAACATCACCCCATCCAAGCTTTTCCATTTCAATTATTTTTTCCCCAAGCACTCTCACTGAACCAAAAAGGGATGAGGCGGTCCCTAAGATATAAAGGTCCTTGGCCATTTTGAGCTCTAAATGTCAGGATCAGTATCTTGTAAGAGATCCGATGTTCTATTGGTAGCCAATGCAGTTGTTGCAGAATTGATGTAATATGGGATCTTATAGATGATCCTGCTAGCAGCCTGGCCGCTGCATTTTGAACCATCCGAATCTTCTGAGTTGTTGACTTCGGAAGTCCAGCATATAAGGCATTGCAATAGTCCACCTAGTGGTGACTGTTGCGTGGATTACTGTTGCCAATGCTTCTACCGAAAGGTAGGATGCCAATTTCCTTGCTTGGCGAAGATGAAAAAAGGTCTGCTTACTTATGGCAGTGATCTGGGCCTCCATCGTCAGCGATGAGTCCAACACAACCCCAAGGCTTTGAACAGTGGCAGACGGAACCAGAACTTCCCCATCGAAATGAGGCAGAGACTGGATTAATTCTGGTGGCTGGCCGGGCCAGAGTATCTCAGTTTTTGCAGGATTCATTTTTAGTCTGCTCGCTCGCAGCCAACTCATCACTGCTTCCAAACACAGCCTAAAGTTCTCAGGAATCGCGGTTGTCCCAGGTTCGAGATGCAAGAGTAGCTGGGTATCATCTGCATACTGGTAGCACTCTATGCCAAAGCTCCGCACCAGTCCAGCAAGTGGCCGGATGTAGATGTTAAATAACGGGGCAAGAGGATGGCATCCTGGGGAACTCCACAGCAAAGGTAGGAGCTCTCAGAGCTTTGGCCTAACCACTCCACCCTCTGTCTCTGGTCTCGGAGAAACGAATTGAACCATTTAAGGGCTAAACCTCGTACACCAGACATAGCCAATCGATGAATCAGCAAGTCATGGTCCACGGTGTTGAATGCAGCTGTGAGGTCCAAGAGTACCAATAGCGCTGATCCGCCTCGCTCTAACTGACGACGAATTTCGTCAGTAATAGCTACCAAGACTGTCTCTGTCCCATGACCTGAATGAAAGCCTGATTGAAAGGGGTCCAAACCCGCAGTCTCATCTAAAAATAGCTGTAGCTGCCCCGCCACTGTCCATTCAATCACCTTGCCCAAAAACGGAAGGTTTGAAACTGGGCGATAGTTACTAGATATGGCGGCGTCTAGGCTTGGTTTTTTCAAGAGAGGGTGGACCACTCCTTCTTCAAGGCAATCTGGAAAAATTCCTTGCTCCAAGGAACTGTTGATGATGCTCCTTAAGGGATCTCGTAATCCTTCCCAGCACTCCTTAACCAACCGGGTGGGGCAAGGATCAAGGGAGCAGGTAGTTGGTCTTGCTGCAGCTAGATTCTTTTCCAGGTCTTCCATTTCTAATAACACAAAATGTTCAAGAAATTGGCCACTAGATGGCCAGAAGGCCTCTAGTTCCCTCGATGTGTCCTCTGTGGGAGGTAGCCTTTCGCGGAGCAGATTGATCTTATTTATGAAGTGGCTCTGCTGTAATATCTTGACCAGCCACATCTTTGGCCGGATGGGTTGGATTTGTGATGTTACGAACAATTTTAACTATTTGAGCAGGTCGAGTTCTGGCAGAAGCTATCAATGAGGAATTATATTCTTTTCTGGCCTCTCTGGTGGCTGCTTCGTAGATTTTTCGAAAGCCGACTTCAATGCTTCATCAGGTTTCTTGCGCCATTTACATTCTAATCTCTTCCGCTCAAGTTTCATCTGATGTAATGCATCCGTGAACCATGGAGAACTATTCCGGCGAGGGCAAAGAGGGGATCATTCGCCTTAAACCCTGACACTAAAGGAAACAGTCAGACTTTTTTTCAAACACTTATTTCAATGGGACCCACACTGTCTTTAAACCACTAATGGAAACAGAAGGAGCATTAGCAGACTACCCACATAACACTCTAACTGAAACATCACACAGTAATCAGACAAATCCACCACTTCCCATCCCAAGGAAATATACCCATTTTAAGAGTTTATATGCACTGGGAGAGGAGTTGATTTCTGCCCATCTCCAAAATCCCCCCGTTTCTACATGCTGCAATGGAATCCCATGAACAACCACAAACAGAAGTCCTCCATAAGAATCCATTTTTAAATGGGTAGAAACAGAGGAAAATATCCATATGATGAGGTCCCTGTAGGAGAACTGCAGTATGTAGTGTAGCTTGGTTAGGAAATGGGGTTGCCAAATAGGCAAGAAAACTAGCTAAGTTTGTAGTGTATTATTGTGAAAGAAAAAGTAAAAATAAATAAGGAACTCACTTTGGGAAGAATGACAACTTGTATTGTTGAGAGTACAACAATATGTCCTTTCATTGACAAAAGAATCCAGGTGGAGAGAACTGTTGAGAAAGAATGAGCCATCCACATATTGCGTAGACATAAATGTTGCATTGTGAGTTAGGTTGGTTTCATGGGAATCAAACCAATAAAGGTGCTTATCTGGATACCCTCCAGTTGCTGTGCATTCAACAGTTTCCTTCTTCCTTATGAGCTGTGGTTTAGTATACGGTGCTGAAAAATATATAGGTTATTAACAGGTTGAGCTACATAACAAATTGATAGGAAATATGTAGTTTTAAAGACCTAGAAGTTCAACCAAAGGTGTTCAAATTATCAAAAGCAAGACTGGTATTGTTATATTTGTATTTGTATACTTCCCATCTTCCATTCCCATGAGCTGAGAATTGTATACCTTGGATTTCTTATTTGTGTGACAACAGTTATTTGGTATTAATAGAGAAATATAAAGGCTTCCCTTCCAAAGGCTCCATACAGTAGAAGCATTCGCATATAACTCCAGTCCATATATATATATGGAAGAATAGAAACTGCCTAATGCTCATGCTTATTTTCTCAAACTTACCAACAACGGTAAAACGGATGTTCTTAGGTTTGCGCCCACTGGAAGAGTAAAGATAAAAAGCATAACATCTCTCATCTGATATTTGTACATTGTGGAAAATCAGGATGGCAAAATTGTCCAACTTCAGTGAAATTCTTCCATCCTTAGATGTATAAATTCCCGCGAATGTGTTGATCTCAGGGTTAAATGGACAGCTGCATTTATTGTAAGGGCAGAAGTTCACTGTGACCCTTGTAATAGCCTCATTGTTCCTGCAAGTAATATTAGTGGTTTTTCCATATTCTGCATTTGTTCCACACGTCTCACATGAGAAATCATCAAATGCTAGAGAAAACAAAAAAATGTACACCAGTTCCTAGTTAGGTCAAGCATTAAATAAAGGTTATTAAGCTATTTATTACTGCAATCAATTACAACATCCTATACATATGCACAGATTCTGTATCCAAGGATTCAACCATCCATGGCTTGAATATTTTTTTAAAGCAAACTTTGATTTTGCCATTTTATATAAAGAAGATTATTTTACTACGCCATTATATATGATAGAACCTGAGAATTCCCAGAGTTTGCTATCCATGAATGCGTGTCTACATGTGTCATAGAACCAAACCTCAGTAAATAACAAGGGTCCATTGTATTTATCAGTGAGGGATGGGCACAGCTCAATTATAGAGCACATATTTTGTAAACACATGAATCTGAGTTCAATCCCCACAGTCCCAGATAGTTATGTTGGTAAATGCTATTAATGTTAACTGTGATTTATTTGTGATCAACAATGTAAACAATAGCACTGTATTTAGGTGAATGGATTTGGGCTGTGCACTTCATCTACACCAGTGATTCCCAACCTTTGGTCCTCCAGGGGTTTTGGAATTCAGCTCCCACAATTACTAACAGCTGGTAAACTGGCTGGGATTTCTAGGAGTTGAATCCAAAACACCTGGAGGACCAAAGGTTGGGAACCACTGATCTAAGCAACAGTTGAGGAACTGTGTGACTTTCATAAATGATGCATATCTAAACAAAATGCTTCTTCCTTCAAAGAACATTTAAAATAAAATTAATAAAAACCCAACATTTTTATAAAAGAAAAATATCATCCTAACCTCTGAAGAATTTCTCCAGGACTCCAATATTTTTTTCACAGCCTTTTGAGTTAACATGACTTATATCTCTAATTACACAAATGAATACCCAGAAGAACTCTGAATCATGACATTATGGGTGCTACTCCTGTACAAAAAATGTTCTGGAGAGCTATATAATGAGGAAAGATTTTAATAAGCACGTTAAAAAGTGGGGACTAATGGCAAAAACATATTGATGTTTTTAATGTGTTATTATTTGTTTTATGGTAATTTATCTGTTTGTTGTTAACATTTTACACATTGAATGTTTGCCGCTACAAATTGTTAACCACCCTGAATCCCCATTAGGGAGATAGGGTGGGATAGAAATTATTGTTTTATGATGCAGGCATCAAATTGTGCCTTTGCTTGTGTAAGCCGCCCTGAGTCCCCTTCGGGGTGAGAAGGGCGGGGTAGAAGAGCCCCAAATAAATAAAATTTATTTATTTATTTGTTTATTTACTGTATTTGTATACCGCCTTTCTCAGCCAATTGGCGACTCAAGGCAGTTTTCAACAAATCAGTATACATAAAACATAATATAGATAAAACATTAAACAGTGCATCAACCAGAAGTGCTACTGAATGTTTAGATTGTATCCAGGGACTTCCAGTCTCTAAGATGGGGTAAAACCAGTTAACCCAGGTTTACCCAAAATTAGGAGAAGTAGGAGAAAACTCCATAATTACAGTGAACTCCTGGACTCTATCCTGCCATTTCTGCAGTTATTTCTGAAAACTGGTTATTTTGCAGAGGTCCTGTATCCTTATTTATTATTTATTTATTTGTGGTATTTGTATACTGCCCTCCTCAATTCCCAGTGAATCTGGACTGTACATAAAAACAAATGCACACACAATCTCAGCAAATCAGTTTTTTCCAACTGAATATATGGTAGGGTCAGAATATCTGGTAGGCTCAGATATTGGGGTTTTCTGCTATCATAGTGAAATGAAAAGCCAGGCAAAATAAAAAAGTGTTACCTAGTGGAATAGAGTAAACCTTACCACAACAAATACTTATATTCAGTATTATCAAGCCCAGAAGAATGATGTGGAGGAATGCCATCTGGAAAACGCTGAAATATTGCTATAGTTCCATCAATAGCTTTAAGACAATTCTTCTGCTGTAACAAAATTAAAAATTGATTTGAATCTGAAAAAAGAAATGCATGGTCTCCTATTAAGAAATACTGTAATAAGGTATTCATACTCTATTGTCTTTGCCTGAGATATGCATCACATTTGGATGAAATTCAAATCAAAGACAGCCTCTTTGGAACCAGTTTTTTAAAGTATTTCCTGGGGCAAAGGAAGATTGCTTCCATCAAAGGAAGCTTGCTTCAATGTAAACATATTACTGAATGTGGACTCAGCTTTTATTTAGGCTTTCAGATTGGGAAAGGCAGATGACCTATCACCAAAAATAAGGTAACCCCTGTGGAAATGGGCAGAACAATGGAATGGTCTCCTAAGGCATGAGTTACATGGAGTTTTCCAATCACTTGTTTTGGGGACAGATTGTGGGCTTTTCCAGACAGGCCATTATCCTGGAGGCCTGTTCACATACACCCCAAAAAGTGCACACTTTCTGTGGTAGGTGTCCACATGTTGTACTGGGACTTCTCAGTATAATACTGGGAGACTGTAACCCCCACCCCCAAACCCTTTTTAAAAGTAAAGAAAACTTACCGGCCTCCAGTAGAGTATTGCCAGAGCTCTCCCAGCATGTAGTAATGATGCGCTGGGGGGGGGGGGGAGGAAAATAGCTTTTGGGGAGGTGTTGGGATTCCCACAATTTTCTGGGCTAATTTAGCCCAGAAAACTGTGGGAATGGTGTCTGGACTGCAGTAGTCCGGAAGTAGTTGGTTTGTCCCGCATCTTCCAAGAAGGCACGGAATAAACCCATTATCTAATTAATTCACCACATGCCAGAGTTTTCCTAATTTGTGGCAAATTAATTCGGGATTGTCCACAATGTTGTCTAGACAGCCTCCTTATTGTTGCAGAAGTTTCCACAATAAAGGGGCTGCCTAGATCTGTCCTGTGAGAGATTATGTGACTTTCATAAATTAAGCATTTCTGGATATAAAATTTTGGATTAATTCCCAGGTTGTAGTAGATTGACTCCAAATTGGAATAAGCAGAAACAGGAAGTTTATCCATATTCCTAGTACTATCCAGTTGGAAGGGATATGAAAAGGACTATACCAAAAAATACTTTGCATCATAGATCTGCTGTAAATTCATTATCAAGTAGCATTGTTGTTGTAAGTAGAATTTCTTTAATAAATCCAACAGCCACGTAGCACACATATTTTCAGATTCCACTTTATCGTGTGCTAAATGAGACAGAACTAAGAAACCTAATGTCTTAGCTTCTCCTCCATACATAAAGGTATTCCACAGAGTTGTTTAGTAGATGGAGTAATTAAATGAAATATATTTGTATATGTTATGTGGGTGGCATGGATGAAGATGATAGATTAAAATTATATAGTTTAACCCTCTGTACCAATGCATCCATGTGAAGGACTAGAAAAGGTCCATTTGAACATGAAGCTTGTACAAGGACAATTCTATCTTCTATCAGAAGAGGGAGTACTGCTCCTATTTAACAGAACTGTCACATTACACTGGTTGCTTATTTTGTTGGAGTCAAATTGCCTGCACAGTTGTAGAGGGCAAATAGCAACCAACATCTATCTTCACTGCCTTCCTTGATTAAATAAGTAAATGCAGCAAGTAATCATTCAACCTAAAGACGTAGCACTGCATATGATTCTGAAATTCAGTGGATATAATACTTAAACTATTAGATGTGGAGGGTTAGTAGTTTTTTTCCACCAAGACTTCAAGGACTGGCACTATATTTGGGTCCACAGACCTCAATTATGTTTATTCTCAGAAAGTTGTGACCAATGGTTGTACTTTAGACATGAAAGAGGTCTTGAATGGAGTGCCCCACGGATCTATTGAAGGGCCATTATTCTTCAGCATTTTGATCAATGACTTAGATGATGGAGTGGAGGAAATCCTTATCAAGTTTATAGATGACATAACAAACAGATTGGAATATAGAAACAGAATTCTAAAGGGCCAAGATAAACTAGAAAGTTCATAGAAATTAGTACAATTAAATTCAGTGCAGACAAATAAAAAATCTACATTTAGGACATATGCAGAAACGACCTTGGGATTATCATGGATGATAAATTGAACGTAAGCCAGTTGTGTTATGCTGCAACAAAGAAGGTAAATGCATTAATGCATTGAGAAGCATAATTTCCAAATCAAGGGTAATAATATTCCCACTATAAACAGGTGGTCAGACCTCACCTGGAGTACTGTATTCAGTTCACTTTATGAAGGAGTAGGTTTAGAGAATGGCAATAGAATGATAAGAGGTATGGAGTACAAAACGTATGAGAAAAGTTTGAGGGAGCAAAGCATGCTCAGCTTGATGAAGAGAAGACTGAGGGGTTGCATGACTGCATTTTTCAAACACCTCAAGGGCTGCCACAGAGAAAGGGCCTGTTCCCTGTGTAGGACCAAGTCTAATGGTTTGAAGTTAGATTTTAATCAAACATTAGAAGGAACTTCAAACATTAGAAGGAACTTCTTGACAGTGAGAGCTATCCAGCAAAAGAACCAATGGCCTGTACCTCTTCCAAAAAAGTCAGAACCATTATCTGCTGGGGATGTTTTAGCTTGAGATCCTGCACTGAGCAGAAAGTGCCACTCAATGGCTTATGAAGCCTCTTTCATTTCATTACTCTACTTCTCTAAACTTGCCACAGACAAATAATTCCTTCTGACAGCCTTATTTCCCAAGCCATGCTGATCCTTTTTTCTCATGCATGTGGTGTCAGGTTTTGCCTACTTTAACCTACTGCCCTCCCAGAGTTTGGTGTTTAAGTTCTGACAAGTTACCTGTCACTTCTCCATCCCACTTCTCCCATCCCAATTCATTGATTCACCTTCTTTTTTCTTTTTTTGAGAACCAGTGCTCTCCAGATGGGAGCAAGTAGACTGGCTGCCCTTACCTAGTCATTGATCATGCTCAAATTTTCCAAGGGAGCCCAGCTTCTAACCCCCTGGTACCTCATAATGGTGGACACTTATTGCTGTTTTGGCAAGTCAGGTAATACTGGAAATAAAGAAGTCAATAGGATGGCACTGTGGCAATTGAGCCTGCACAGGCTACTTGAGAGGTCCAAAATATTAATTCTACATCCCTGCTGTAGATGGAGAAAAGAGGGAGCTCTAAGGACTGGCTGGGGCAAAGTCAAGGTAAAGTTAAACCCACATTCAGGAAGATTTTCTCCAAATATTTTCAGCAGAATGAAGGGTTTAAAACATTGCCTAAGGCACAGGAATACAGAGAAAATCATGTTCAGATGGAAGAAGTAAAATTGATTTATTTATTTGCCACATTTGTACCTCAGTTTTCTCATACCGAAGGGGCCTCAGAGCAGCCTTACAACAGGCAACAATTCAATGCCATACATATACATATCCATAAAATAAACAAATACATTAAAATTCAATCATTTAAACGCATCAATTATTAAAACATCAATTGAAATCACGCAATCCAAATCATAATCCAGGGCCATTTCATTTGTCAATCATATTAATTCATATCCCTTGTTACACTGCTCAAATTACTGATTAAAGGCTTGGTCCCAAAGCCACTTTTTATGTTTTTTCCTGAAGGTCAGGAAAAAAACTTGCACGCCCTCCACATGCTTGCTCTCCCACTCACCCCCCCCCCCAATGCTCAATTTCCCATCCCCTTCTGGTTTGAGCATTCTTCCTCTAAATGGTTCACCATCACTGTCTTAGAATATGCATTTCCCCACAGGGTAACAAATTTACCTTGGGTGGTAGTTTTAGATGAATATGTTCAGGTTCTGCACGAAATAGGACTTAACATCTCTGAAAAAGAAGCAGGAGAACATTTCATTCATTGTTCCCCACCAAGTTTTTTATGAAATCTAGGGAATAGGAATTTCCATTTTCTCTATACCAAAACAGACCCATTTTGGAAATAATGTAGGTATTTATCACAGCAAACATGAAAAAAGCTATTGTGCAAATGAGGGTCAGCAACATTACCTTCTCACTTTAACATGCCCTATCCCTTCCGAAGCAATGTGAGTTTGTGAGTCATCCTTGTATCATTCCATGCTGAAACCCAGTTTAGCTTGGCATGTAAAGATACACTTTGTTTTTTCTGTCTTGAAACATCAATGGATGATGCAGCCTTGATCCCAGGTTCAAGTTTTGTGAGAGTAGTTGTCTACTTTTTCCATAGTTTATTAACTTTTGTGGTATTTTCTAACTTCCTTTTCCACACACATATTCTCTGCCTTTGGTTCTTTAACCACTCCTAAGTGAACTTTTCCTATTATTGTCTCCAGATTAGAACTATAAACATGTGAGGGTTTTTTTAGCTACCTTACAAGTTTATAGTATGTGACAAACCTAAATAAGTAATACTTAGCAGATCACCACATCTGATAAATTTAATGTTTGGAGTTCTGGTAACATAATTTTAAACTAATATCAACTACTTCATATTCAAAATCACTGCTTAGATGATTTTTACCCTATTGCCATGATCAAAACTTGTCCTTTAGTCTATATTATCAAGCATCATCTGCATGTGGAGGAGATTCATTCTGCTGATGATCAGACAGAGGTGCCAATAAAAATGTAGCTCAACTCATGAGAATGATTACAGAGTGATATTTGAAGAAGCCCATCAAGCAAAGAAATTAGCTACTGACAAAAGACTTTTGTGATATGTTTTGGCCAAGAAGGGATAAGATCTGCTACAATCACAAGCCAAAAAAGGACTTTAGGATCCAATAGCCTGGAGGGAGTCCATTAAGGAGCCAACTGGGGCTGAATCTTCACTGCTATATAATCCAGTTTCTGAATCCAGATTATTTGCCTTAAACTGGAGTATATGGATCCAAACTGCCATAAAATCAAGTTCAAACCAGACAATCTAGATTCAGAAACTGGATTATATGGTAGTGTAAATGAGGCTTCAGTATTCTAGCGCAGAGATGTCAAGTTTGTGGCCCTCCAGATGTTTGGATGTCAGGTCTCAGAATTCCTGCCTATCAGCTAAAATGCCTTCTAGAGGACAGGAACCACTGTGCTAAGGAACCACTGTGCTAAGTAATAATCCAAAGAGGTCCTTATCATGAGAGAGATTGTTAACTTACTTTTCTGTTGGGTGCAGGAGTTGAACAGCAAAGGGAAAAACATATAAACTGAACTAAAGATGTATTGAAGGCGAGTGGTACTCGAAGAAAATATAGAAAATGCCTATTCCTAAACTGTAGTCAGGGCAGAGTAATGTTGGCCAGGATCTCACACATCTTGGCAGTTTGCACAGTTTTTAATACCTTCCTTGTCCTACTGGCTGCCCTCCAAACCTTTCCTCTTTCATATTTAATGGAAAATTCTAATTTCATAAAACCAGTTTACAAACATAGATGGCACATTTGAATATAAATTGGCACAGAATTGGAATGAGATACAGAAAACACAGTACCTTGTTTATTTATTTATTATTTATTTATTTACTTTGCTTATATACCGCTGTATCTCAAGCCCGAAGGCGACTCACAGCGGTTCACAAACAGTAAAAACAGTAGAAACAGCAGTGGTTCCATACAACATATAACAATTGACTTAACACATTATCCATAAATTACCAATAAGCAATTACAATGCACAATTATTACAAAAAACAACCGTACCCAATCCTCTCATCATCCAAGCGTAGTCCAGGTTCGTCGTCCATTGTTCCATTCCTATGTTCCATTACCAGATTGCACTAAATTACTCAAACGCCTGCACAAACATCCAGGTCTTCACCTTTTTGCGGAATACCATTAGAGATGTTGCTAGTCTAATGTCCGTAGGAAGGGCGTTCCACAGCCGAGGAGCCACCACCGAGAAGGCCCTATCTCTCGTCCCCGCCAGCCGAGCTTGAGAAGCAGGCGGGATCGAGAGCAGGGTCTCCCCGGAAGATCTCAAAGTCCTGGTGGGTTCATAGGCAGAGATGCGGTGGATAGGTAGCTTGGGCCGGAACCGTTTAGGGCTTTAAAGGCCAACGCCAGCACTTTGAATTCAGCCCGGTAGCAGATCGGTAGCCAGTGGAGTTGGCGCAACAGGGGGGTTGTATGCTCCCTGCGCTCGGCTCCTGTTAAAATCATGGCTGCCGAGCGTTGGACTAGTTGGAGCTTCCGAGCTGTCTTCAAAGGCAACCCCACGTAGAGAGCGTTGCAGTAGTCTAAACGGGATGTAACCAGAGCGTGGACTACCGTGGCCAAGTCAGACTTCCCAAGGTACGGGCGCAGCTGGCGCACAAGCTTTAGCTGTGCAAATGCTCCCCTGGTCACCGCCGAAACCTGGGGTTCCAGGCTCAGCGATGAGTCCAGGGTCACACCCAAGCTGCGAACCTGCGTCTTCAGGGGGAGTGCATTTACAAATGC